AGAGAGAGAGAGAGAGAGAGAGAGAGAGAGAGAGAGAGAGAGAGAGAGAGACGGAGAAAGGAGGGGAAGAAGATGTAAAGAAAAGTAAACAGTTACCACAGATACAGTAGTCTCCGCCTAAACGCATGCCATACAAAAGCACGCTCCCCTCAAACGCGCGCTTTCGTCACATGACGTGTTTTTTTTAACATATAATTTAGATGTACAAACGCACGGTCACTCCATTTAAACGCACGCTTCCTTCAGCGAAACACGCCCACAAGTTAAGCTTGACAAGGGGAAATTTTCACTACAACCCGACAGCTTGCATTGAGACTGTGGTCTATTTGGTTGTTTAATTTGCAATCTGGCGTGTTGGTCAGTGGCAGGGGGTTAGGCCTAGTCTATTGTATTGTTTGGCTGAACGTCGAGAGTGAGTAAAGTGTGAGTCTCAGTTCAGTTGTATTGTTTGGTGCAAGTGTTTAAAAGCAGTCTGGATTACTGCAGGTCAGACTTCAGAGGGGAGAACTGCAGCAAGGCAGGGGAAGCCTGCTGAGATTTCAGGTGGAGAAAAGGGGGAATGGCTTTTTAGAGCCTCGATTTATTTCTGTGTTGTTTGTGAGATTCCTCGGTTCGGCCACTGGATTTTTTTTTTTGTGCAATCTTCTATTTTGTGGATGAATCTAGCAGTTGCCATGGTAATGGTGGCCATTGTAGAAAAATGACCAATTTTTGGTTGTTGTTTTTTTTAATCCATCAAAGTCATGACATCACATGCTTTTTCTGTTATCTTATGTATTTTTTTAGAATTTTTTTTATTTTTGGAATTAGTCCTTCACTTCCCCAACTCGAAGTCAGGTACCCATTACAGGTGGGTGGGCAGGAGGGGGCCAACAAAAATCCGTGGCCGAACCGAAGCTCGAACCTGGACTTTCTGCTTTGGAGACAAGCGCACTAACCACTCAGCCACCACGCTACAGTAAGCTACAGGCTTTAAAAATACTGATGTAGTGCTTTGCGGTTGTTTTGCCACCGTGAACGACAACACAGTGGGAATCCCTCAATGTCGTCAAACGAGATGGCTGTTACTATAAATATCGGCCAATGGAGTACATCTGTCGTTCTCAAGTTATCCGCATGTATATCTAGGGCATGTGGAGTTATTGATATCATTTCAAAGTTTGTTAATTTAGTTGTCTTGCTTTCAATGAAAAAATACCCATCAGTTTGAATAGAAGTTGAAACATTTGGTACAAAAGGTGAGGGTCACCTGGTAACAGAGAAAAAAATTGCAAGAAAATGGCCACAAAAGTTTAGTGACTTCCGTAGTTAAAGAGTCCTTGGAAACTGAAAATGTATTTTTAGAGCATTTAATCAACGTTTCTTTGTAGAATCCAGACAGAAAATATGTTTTTTTTTAATGAGCATAAAAATTGTCAAGCCACACCCCCCCCCCCCCCCCCCCCACAAAAATTAGATAAAAATTGCTGAAGAGGCAGACATGCCAGTTTCTTTGATTTCATTATTTTGACGAGCGCTTGATTTCACCGCGAGCCTCACAGTACAGTTTTTATTGTTGTTCTGATGTGTCAAAACAGCAGCTCTGCTACTTTTACCTACCCCCTGGATGAAACCAAGGACCCTGGCAGACTGGAGCAATCGCCCGGGCAGAACGAAGGAGGACGACTTTGTCTTCCGGTGCTGTCAGGTTCCAAGAACATTGATACCTGAGGAAGAGATGGAGGTCCAGTTATAATAATAATTATTATCTGTTTCAAACCTGATCGATAACAACAAGAACAAAACAGGATCGTTTCAAACATGAGGAAGAGAAGGAGGGCAGGTCCAGCTATAAAAACGTCTCGCTCATAAGATAAACGCCCGAGTCATTTTTAGCCTTTTGAGAAAAGGAGAAAAAAAACCTGGTTGTTCTTTCCAACAATGGAATCTGTGAAACACTTGAATTTTGCTGCACTCAACAGATTTTCTATTTGGATTATTCTTTTGTCCAAGTGAACTATATTACCAAGCTGGCTCTGCTCATCATTTCAGAAACAAAATCCCCAAACCGGCCAAAAATAACTTCAGCAATTATCTTATGCGTGTGACGTAATCAGTTCCAAACCTGAGGAGGAGAAGGACAGGTCCAAATGTAACAACATTATCTGTTTTTAAAAAAGGGAGATAAGGATAGTTTCAATTAATATTACAATATTATCTGTTTCAAATCAGAGGGAGAGAAGGACAGATCCAAATATAACAACATTATCTGCTGTTTCAAACCCAAGGAAGAAAAGGGCCGGTGGAACTGCTGGCAATCACGGATCAGTCATTTTGCAATACCGGTGTCTGTGGTGTGGCGATAGGAGCTTCGCTGTCGCACACAGGAGATCTCCGTTTGATTCCTGAGTTGTGAGAAATTTCTGTCATTTATCTCGGTCATTCCGTCGGGAATTTGCTTCCCTCTCAGCCCAGGTTGGCCCTAACGGGTAGGGTCGGAAGCCCGCCTCCTAAATGATCTAACTTGTGTCGATGGAGCGGGGACGTAAAAGAACAATCACTGTGGCTACTGATCACACTTGGTCTTGGAAGCAGAATCGAACCATTTAGTCAAATGTGTCACCACGTGGTGGAATCAGGCTCTCTTCAATTTTCAGGCATTTAGAGTTATTGGTATCATCTTCTTGTTCATTTGCCTTGCTTTGGATGAAACAAGTATCCATTTATCTCGAATACAAGTCCAGATATTTGTGAAAAAATGAGGTGGGGGTCACCTGGTTTCAGAGGTAAAATTAGAGAGAAAATTTCATCCTCATCCAGGGATTAATTATTTCTTTAGCTTGAGAGACCGTGGAAACTGAAAAGGTACATTTTTTCGTGTCTTTTATCAACGTTTTTCAGTAAATTCTATAGAAGTATGTTCTTTAATGGACATGAAAGGTATTGAGCCAAAAAACAAAAATTCGAAAAGACTCACAAACCTGCGCAAAAATGCCAGTTTCTTCATTTTCATTATTTTGACAAACACTTGATTTCACCACGTTGCCTCACAAACAGAACTGAAATAGATGTCCAAACAATCAAGCCGATGGGCGGTGTCAGTGGCCTAGTGGTTAGGCTACTGTAATCGTGAGATTGTGGGTTTGGGGATACAGCCTGAGCTTGGTCCGACGTTGCGTCCTTGGGAAAGATTTTCCCATTTCGTTCAGTCCTTTCGGAGATAAACGTTAAACTTGGAGGTCTCGCCTTTTAAATAGCCTTATGGTGTTGATAGAGGCGCAAAACCTATACCATATTATTATCCACCCTGAGTGCTGGTGTATCAACTGTGTAAAACCGTCGCGGACACACATCACGTGCGAGGCATCGTAGGGAAATCAGGCTGGCGTTCGTCAAAATATTAGAATCGAAGATACAGCCATTTTTCCATCGCCCAGGTTGGACAATTTTTTATTTTTTTTGGCTATGTACTATTTTTGTCTATTGAAAAAAACAAACATATTTTTGTGTGGATTTTACTGAAAAACGTTGATTAAAGGTGCGAAAATATACATTTTCGATTTCTAAGGACACTCAAGCTATGGCAATCACTAGTCTTTGGCAGCCGTTTTCTCACTAATTTTACAAGGCAACCCCTACCTCCTTCAATCAAAAATAAAATATTTCGAATTTTATTCGTGATAGTAGCAGATTTGTTTTTCTCATCAAAGTGAAGGCAAATGTACTTGCTTTAAACAAATAGCGAAAAATGCCTCCTCTTCCCCCCCCCCCCCCCCCCCCCCCCCAATGAAAAATTAAATAAATAAATAAATGAACAAATAAAAAGGAATTTAAAAACTGAATGAATGAATTAACAACGTTGATTATAAAAAGAAATAGTGTGTACACAGTGAGTTTTAAAATGTTGCTCATTACTGAAACTAATCTGCAGCAAACCGGCACTTATCACTACATGGCATTCGACAGAATGGCGAGAGCCCAGCTGTTGCTGGATCGATAACAACGACAACTTATTTAGAGAGAGTCAGAGAACCAGTAGACATAATCAACATATCGCGCATGCGTAAGGCAATACAACAAGCAAAAGACAGACGTTCGCTTCTCCCCTCGACACCAAAAGGCAACAGAGGCCAAGGAACTTAATTCCGAGACACCATTGGCATCGTTGGTTCGGTTCAATTCAATTCGGTTCAGTACGGTTTTGTCGGTTTGGGGTAAACCAGATCATCCTCCTTGGGAAGGGCAAAACCGACGAAACCGACCATGACCTTCAGCAACAAACATGTTTGTTTTCAAGGCAGAGCCTTGGTCCATCAGTTAGGGCAGTTGGTCTGTTTATAGTGTCCTTAGTAAGATCGGGGGTTGCCACGTTTGAAGAAAGACACATCAGAAAGAAAGATTGGAGACGGCAGCTGAGAAAAGACCGAGAAAGCCTTACCTTCCAGCCTAGTTCAGTCCTAACTATCCCCTGCCCCCACTGCAACAGACATTTCCGAGAGAAGATGGGCCTGATCAGCCATCTCCGCACATACCCCACCCCTCCAGTGATGTGAAGTCAGGGTCATCTTCGCCAACGAAGGACGAGCATCAGTGTGCAACGAAGTCGCCAGAAACGGAACCAAACCAAACCAAACCGATCCCCAAATAGAGAACGCCTATGTATAATGTAAAAGCAACCTACACTTACGAGTTTGGGAAGAAGCTTTCACCGGTGCGAAGAGAAAACAGTAGCATTGGTTCATCCCGCACTGCAAGCTGTTGGAGGCCGTCACACATCGGTGGTGTGTGCCCATCTGCAGGTTGATTAATTGAAGGATGGATGGATGGATGGATGGATGGATGGATGGATGGATGGATGGATTTATCTATCAATTGATTTATTAATTGATTGAATAAGTGATTGATGGATGGAAGGATGAATGAATGGATGGATTTATTGATCCATTGAATTATTGATGGATTGATTGATTGATTGGTTTAGTGAGTGTTTTAGGCACTACTAACACAGATGTAGAAATGCATTAGCAGGACAGGACAAGATTAACAATACAATAGTAATTAATATTTACTGGTGGCATTGTGGTGAAATCAGGCGCTCGTCCAATTAATGAAATCCAAAGGTAAAAGTTTTTTCCGATTTCATTTTTTTGACAAGCGCCTGATTTCACCAAGCGGGATGCCTCACAAATGAATACAGAGGGCGGGGGCGGGGGGGGGGTGGATAGACAGACAGACAGAGAAAGACACAGAGGACGAGAGATAGAGAACAAAGAGAGGGAAGGAAAGACAAGAGAGAGAAGGAGAGGATGGTGAAAAAGGAGGAGGGAGCGAGAGAGAGACAAAGAGAGAGAGAGAGAGAGAGAGAGGCAGACAGACAGAGACAAAGATGTGTGATCGTGAGCGAGAGAGAGAGAGAGAGAGAGAGAGAGAGAGAGAGAGAGAGAGAGAGAGAGAGAGAGAGAAAGTGTGTGTGTGTGTGTGTGAGAGAGAGAGAGAGAGAGAGAGAGAGAGAGAGAGAGAGATACCTTGAAACAAGATCTCAAACCCTGGCCCTCTGCCCATGGTTCCCGGGAAGTAGGCAAAGTGTACTTGAATGTAATATTCCATCTTCTCCACATACGTCCTGCCACACCAAATCATCGGATCTGGAATAAGAAACCGTTTTAAGAGTTTTAATAGTAATAATGATTGTAATTTTTTTTAAATGGTGAAATGGTATAGGTTTAACCCCCCTATCAACACTTTATGTGGCGTTGGTGGCTCAGTGGTTCAGCTCTCGGACTCGCAACCGTCAGGGGCCCAACGTTGTGTCCTTGGGAAAGGCACTTTGCACAATTAATTTTCCTCACTTCACCCAGGTGGAAATGGGTACCCGGCTATAGACAGTGAACGATCTTGTCAGTTTGATAGTGTTTGAGCGCGTGAAATCCGCAGCTTGCACTGTATGTTTCTGAGTGTTCTCAGAGGGTCTGCTGGGGTAATAATAGAGCATGCTCTTGAGCATGGATATGCGCTATATAAATGCAATTATTATTATTATTATTAGGTTATTTAAGGGGCAGGACCTCCTAGTTTAACGTCCGTCTCCGATAGGACCGAGCCAAGTGGGAAATTCGTGTAAAGTGCCTTTCCCAAGGACACAACGTCGGACATAGCCGAGGCTCGAACCCCCGAACTCGCAATCACTAGATTGTAATAACAATCGTAATAATAATATTAATAATAATAACAACAACAACAACAATAATAATAATGATAATAAAAATAATAATAATAATAATAATAATAATAATAATAATAATAATAATAGCCTAAAAATATTATTTTATTAATGCAGACAGAATCATTGGAGATTATTGTAACAACGGGCAAGTTTGATGGAAAGAGAGGCAGAGGCAGACAGTGGGAAAAGATACTGGACAAGATCACAACATGGCTGGGAGCAGCAAGAACGACAGACACCATCGCTACAACGCAAGACAGTGAAGTGGAGGTCTATGATCGCCCACGCCAGTGGGCAAGGCACCGGATGATGATGATTAATAATTATAATTCTTTCTTTCTTTTATCCACCGCTTATACCCTTTTGGGTGTCGCGGAAGAAAGAGACGTCTCTGTGCCACCAGCCGGAGAGCTTGGGTTAGGGGGATGCCGTGAGTTGTTAATGTTTCCCTGACCACATATATACAGGTTTTTCTCGGTCGCCCTCTAGCCTTGTTGCCATTGACTTTTTTTATGTAGGCATGTTGTGCTGGGTGGTGTGTTGGTAATCACATGAGATGTTCTTTGGTGTTGGATGCCATGCATGACATCATTTGTGCCATCCATCTCTGATTAAAATTACTGTGTTTCTAATTTTTTCTCGCCTGGACTTGTTTACTGCTTTCCTAACGCATCGAATTTCACATGGAATTCTTTACTCTAATGTCTTGTTCGTGGTCCATGTTTGGCATTGATAGGTGAGAGTACGGATGGATATTATGGTGTTGATCATTTTGAGTTTTGTTGTCGTGGGGATGTTAGGATGTTTCAGGAGTGGGGTAAGCTGGTAACTAACATTATTGGCCTTTTGTACTTCAATTTCTCTGTTCAGTCACCCATCTTCTATATGCTTCCGAGGTACTTAAATTCTTGGACCTGTCTGAGACTGTTGTTGTTGATGTGTATCCTGAGAGATCCTGGCTTTCTGCTTACTTTCATTGTCTCTGTTTTGTAGATGTTGATCTTCATATGATAGTTGTTACATTCTTCGTTTAATCTGGTGGTGTGGTGTTGGATACTTCGTTCATCTTTGTGTTCCAGGCTTTGGTCATCAGCGAAGAGTAATTCATTTAGGGCGTATGATTCTGCGTTGGCCTCTTTTGTAATTTTATCCCTATATATGATCAATTGTAGTGGTGATAGGACATAACCTTGTCTTACTCTGGATGTTATCTCGAACCATTCTTTGAGTCCCTCTGACGTTCTTACTGTACTTATGCTGTTCTCGTAAATGGCACGGATGTTATCTAGAAGTTGACCTCTTACAGTGTAGTTTTTGAGTTCTTTCCACAGCTTGTTTCTGTTCACTCTGGCGAACACTTTCTCCTGGTCGACAAATGCTATGTTTAGTTCCCTGTTGTGTTCTATTACCCTTTTGCACATTTGTTGTAGAGCAAATATTGCGTCGGTGCATCCTCTCCCCTTTCTAAATCCCATTTGGGCCTCACTCAGAAATGGTTCAACTTTATATCTTGTTCG